TTGCCCCAGTGCAGCGTCTGGGGCTCCCTGGGCACCCAGCGAGGATGGGGTGGGGGTGATGCCCACAGGGGCTGCTCTTGCTCTCAGCAGCTCAAAGGCCCCATTTTCCTCCCTTCTGCCCCATGCACAGTCCTACATCTGTGGGGCGGGCCCCTGACCCTGGGGACAGCTACCCCAGCACCCTGGCACAGCCCCAGGCTTGTCTTTGGGCTGCTTCACCCGCCTGTTGCGGGGCTGTGCTGGCAGCAGCTGTGAGCCACCAAACCTCAGCCCACCCTCGGGTGGGGAGAACAGACCCCCCTTTGTCTGGGGTGCTGGGGGCACCTGTCCCTGCTGACAAAGAGCCCCTTGATGGCACGGGCAGCCCGGGGCTGGGCCCTTTTTCCTCCTGCAGCCTCTCCACTCGGGTGTTGCAGCAGGTCCCCAGCCCAGCCCCAGCTCTCCCCAGAGCTGCAGGTGCTGCCTCCTGGCTGGACTTTTATCAGCACTGTTGAAACGGTGCTGTGCTGGCAGCTCTGGGCAAAGTCCCCTAGGGGAGGAAGGAGAGGTGGGAGCCTGGCCGGTGTGGGGATGGAGCAGGCTGGGAGGTGGCCTCACCCCAGGCAGTCCACTTATGCAATGAGCTGGGACTCCCCATTTCCTTGCCCCGGCTGATGTCCTTGGGCAAAAGGGTCACCCCAGCCTGGCCCCGTGCCTGCTGGTGGCAGATTGCCCAGCAGGACGTCTGGCTGGGGCCAGGCAGTCACTGGGAGCAAGAGGTCTCGTGCTGGATGCTCAGGCACCTCCATGAGGTCAGGACTTGGGATTTCTTTTCTGCCCCTGTGTCCCCTGGGAGATGCTTCAGCCTCTGGGGGGGGATGGGGGTGCCTGGCCCTGGCGTGTCCCTGGCATTACCTCACCCCAAACAGGCTGCTCCTGCCAGCCACGGAGGCAGCTGGGAATCTCCTTGGGTCTCCCCTCGACAGGGAGTCATGCTCTCCGACCCAGGTAACCCCAGCCTGGCCCAGTGCCTGGCTTCTGTCATGGACAGGAGCCAAAGGAGCTGTTTGGATACATGGAAGATACAGGGTCACAGTGTTGGAAGATGCTGAGGTCAAGGGCTGTCATCTCCAGCACGTGTCTAGAGCTCCAGCACGTGTCTAGAGCTCCAGCCACTGCTGAGCACAGCTGGCCAGGCTTGTGGCCAGGGCTGCCAGTGCCAGGGCTGTGGTAGGAGCGACCTGCTGGTGAAGTGGGACTCGGGAGCATCTTCTCAGTTCTTGTTTCCTTCTTCCACAGAGCTCCCAGAGGACTGCCACCAGCTCTTCCTGTCTGGGCAGCAGAGCAGTGGCATTTTCCAGGTGCAGCCTGCAGGGTCTCAGCCCTTCAAAGTCTACTGTGACATGACTGCAGGTAAAGCCGTGGAGATCTCCTGCAGCACTGTGTGGTGCTCTTGCCAGTGGTAACCCCCAGTGATGGTGTCTTTCCTGCCCACAGAGGGAGGCTGGACAGTGATCCAGCGGCGCACGGACGGCTCTGTGGACTTTGACCAGCTTTGGGATGCCTACAAGGATGGCTTTGGAGACCTTCGTGGTAGGTGGCTGATGGTGCCCAACTTCTTAGCATGGGACAAGTGTTACCTTAGCACGAGTTATTCCCCCTTGCTGGCCCCTGGAGATCTCTGTGCCTGGGCTGAGGAGGGGGAGCACAGCTTGCAGAGCAAGAGTCCCTTGTTCTGACTTGACCTGCTGTCTGGCACCTGCAGACAAGTGCTGCAGTGTCCTGGATTGTCCCTGTTTGTCTCTGGAGCCTCTTCATGTGCCTGCTTTGCACAGCATGTTTGTGTCCCTGCAGCTAACACAACGTGTCTTGTTTCAGGTGACTTCTGGCTGGGCCTGGAGAAGATACATCACCTGGTCCAAGAGGGGAGATACAATCTCCTGATTGAGCTGGAAGACTGGGAGGGAAATTCCCAAGTGGTTCGGTTTGTCTTCAGCCTTGGTGGTGAGAGCACAGCCTACATGCTCAACCTGCTGGGACCTCTCTCTGGAGAGCTGGAAAATGCCATTGGGGACTTCAGGCAGCTGCCCTTCTCCACTCGGGATCGTGACCATGACCTCAAAGCTGACACAAACTGTGCCAAACACCTCTCAGGTCAGTAGGAGCTCTTCCTTCCCAGTGCTGGGCGCTTTCCCTTCAGTCCTCTGCTGTCTGGTGGTGGCTGTGAGTGGGACAGGGACCCTGTGGGACCAGGCCCCGTTCGTGTCGTGCCCAGCTTGTCTTCTGCTTCCCCAGGAAAGCTGTGACCTTGCCAGGGGCAGTGCAGGGAGCTGGGAGGGAAGCTGGAATCAGGAGGGGCTCACGATTCAGATCTTGGCCCAAGCATCTGTCTTCATAACAGCTCTGCTGGTTGCCATCTTGCTTGGAAGCCTTCCAAATGACACAGAGGCCAGTCCCCAGGCCTGAGATGGGGCTGCTGAAGGGTTTGAGGGGGTTTTGCATGCAAGAAAGAGCAGCAAGGATTTGCAGACACATCCTAAAGTTGTATAGGATGTCTGCAAGGCTTTCCCAGTGCACGGGACTCCTCAGGTGGGTGTGAGGTGGTCACATAAGGTCTCAGAGCCCTGGAAGAGTGGGGAAAATGGGGGTGGCAGCTGCCTTGAACCCAGGATTTTCTGCCTGGAAGTGCTGTGGGTTAAGCTTGCCTGTGCTTTGCCCTGCTAGGAGGCTGGTGGTTCAGCACCTGTGGCCACGCCAACCTCAACGGGAAGTATTTCCGCTCCATCCCCCGGCAGAGGCACGAGCGCAAGCAGGGCATCTTCTGGAAGACCTGGAAAGGCAGGTATTACCCTCTGAAGTCAACCACCATGAAAATCCAACCTGCAGCAGTGGAAGCAGAGCCCTAAAGCTGCCACTTGAGACTTGACCTTCTCTGTGGAGCACAGACCTGAGCTCCATCTCCTGGTGTTTACAGAAGCCAAACCCAGCCCCCTGGGATGTCCCCCGGGGAGCGTTTCCCTTGCTCAGCAGCCCCTCCGTGGCATGCTGTGTCTCCTTGCTGCAAGTAAAACAGCTCCATTTTGTTGAAACCCCTGGATGAGAGCTCCCAAACCAGAAGAGGAGCCACCAGCAGGGAGATCCTCCTCCAGAGCATGCACAAGGGTCTTCCAAGCTGCCACACGCTGCTGTGGCACGTTCCTGTTGTCTGGTGCTTTCTGTCCCGTCTGAACACTTCTGTGCTGGTTTTGATGAGCAGGGGCTGGGGTGGGTAGGGGAGTGTGTGAAGTGTTTCAGAACAGTGTCCTGGACCCCAGTGTTGGGTACAGAGCTTTGCTGTGTCCTGTCTTTCACTGTTGTGCCCAAGTGATGTCCTATGTACCCTCCTAGGAAAGCCCCCAGAGCCACCTCCTCTGGTGCTGGGGGGCAGTGAGCCTTGGGCAGCTCCAGCTGCACAGCCCCTGCTCTGCTCACCTGGGTTTTAGAGGGGAGGCTGGAGGACCCCCTGTGCAGAAGGGGACCTCAGGCTCACTTGGCTGCCCTGGTCCTCCACGGCTCAGTAATTCCAGCTCTGCTGGAATTTGCCAGGAGCTGGGGAAACAGCTCCCAGCTCCAGGAGAGGATGGGTGAGAGCCTGCAGCCAGTTGCATGGGAGCCAGATCCTGGAGGGCTGAGTCTGAAGCTCTGCCTGGAGCTGACCCGTGTTGCTGGGCGTGGTTAGGACGAGCACTAGGACAGTGTAGGTACAGAGCAGGGGCTGTCCCTGAGCAGGACCAGCCCTGCTGTCCGCTGTAAATACCCCTGAAGCCTGGAGAGCTGCTCCTTCTCCCTGTACCAAAGTAGCACACCACACTATATGCATGCCCCAAAACTTGCTCTCGAGGGCCAGGGGACAATGGGGGTCCTGTGCCTCTGCCTCTGCCACAGGTGTCTGGAGAGAGGTGGGCAAAACAGGTCCCCAGAAACTCTCATGGGCCAAGCTGCCGTCTTGGGGCTTCCCAAGCATCCTGCCCTATTGAAGTCATATTGACTACTGTGCTAGAGCTCCTAGCTGCTAAATACTGTAAATAGTTGTTTGTAGGATGGTGGATCTTGTCGATGAATTCCCTGTTTTAATTTGTTTCCATATTTAAATGCAGTGTTAATAACAATGTGGTGTAATTTATGAACGTCGACGTGGGAAAGAAAAGCAGCTGTAGTTTGTGTATTTTAAACCTTTTTTTTTGTACTAAAATATCTTTTCTGAAAACGTCTTTTAATAAAAACAAGTCTGTAACTGTCTTGCCTGGATTGTTTGACCAATAGTTTTACCAGTAGGTGTGTGAGGACACTGGACTGGGAAAGTTCACTTGCTGGGGGTTAAGCTGAGCCCTGTGCTTGCTTCTGGCCTCGATTCTCAGCTGCAGCCTTGTGGAGCTCTGGAGATAAATCCCTGCTGTACCCCCCAGCAGGAGTTCCTGGTCTGTTTGAAGCTCAGGGGCTTCTCAATTTCTTCTCCCTCTGGAAACCAGGCCCTGGGGCTGTAAGTTTACGAGTGATGATGAGCTGGCTGTTCTTATTCCCTGCTGGCAGACCTTTGAACCAGGGAGATGTTCCTTGTACCTGACTGGAAATCCCTGTAGCAACTTGAAGAGCAGGGGCTGAGCTCTGAATTATCTGGATGGGTTAAAGTCAGAGCTGCTCAGGACAAGCCCAAATAAGTAGTAGACTTTTACCTGCTTGTACTGTACATGCACAGTCATCTCCAAAAGCATTGATTGCAGCCTCTGGGCAATGATTACATATGTAGGAATGCAATGAGCTGGGGATGGAGGCAAGCTCCAGCTGTGCTTGTGATCCCCAGACATGTGGCCTGATACTGAAGCTGGAAAGAACAGCAAAGGGTTCTTTAGCTGGTGAAAAGGGGACAAAAATTGCTTGTTGCAGAAAGAAGAACCAAAAGGCTGCTCTAGGCCACCGGAGCAGCTGTGTAAATACCTGGTGTACCTAAACATGGCCCCAGCTCCTGTCTGTCCTCCTTCCCTGGGGAAAAACCTGGGGTTAATGATAGCCCCAAGCACAATTGCACAAACAGCCCATTATTCCTGGCTCTGTGCTATCTATCTGCTCACTCGTGCATTCAGAAATACATTTTTAATGTTCCATTTGCTTAATTCAAAGCTTGTTTAGTCCCTGGGTGCAGCAGCAGATACTGGAGTGCTGTGTTTTAGTCTGAATGCTGAACTGGTTGGACTTGCCTGGGTTTTATGCTTCACACAGAAACTGGTGCAGGAGCTATGCTGCATTTACTCATTGCCAGGGTTTTTTTGCAGGGGTTTGCTCCCCAGTGGTGCATTCGATCTTCAGCATCTACATGAGGCAGCTGAAGGACGATGCCACTGGGTACCAAACACCAGCCAGGGAAGGCTAAATGCCCCAAATTTGCCTAGCCCAAGCACTGCAGCTGCTGCTTTCTCTGTGTCTCAGCCTTGCCCTCTTCTGTACAAGTCTCCAGGTCCCGTTGGTGTCAATGCCACCCTGTGCTCCCAGCCCATCGGTCCCACACTGGAGCATGTGGAAACCTGAGGCCCTTCCAAGGTTCCTCTGCAGGAGCAGCCGGTCCTGGGTCTCTGTTTTCAGCTGGAATCCCTCTGGAGTCCTCCAGCTCCTTCATTTTTAGCAGCTCTGATGAGCAGGCTGAGTCCCGGTGCCCGGTGGGGGACGGGGCAGCTCCTCCAGCCACAGCCCCA